TGGGGTCCCTGAGCTGGTTTTGGGGTCCCTGAGCAGTTTTTGGGGTCCCTGAGCTGTTTTTGGGGTCCCTGAGCCGGTTTTGGGGTCCCTGAGCCGGTTTTGGGGTCCCCTGAGCTGTTTTTGGGGTCCCTGAGCAGTTTTTGGGATCCCTGAGTCAGTTTTGGGGTCCCTGAGTGGGTTTTGGGGTCCCCTGAGCTGTTTTTGGGGTCCCCTGAGCTGTTTTTGGGGTCCCTGAGCAGTTTTTGGGGTCCCTGAGCCGTTTTTGGGGTCCCCTGAGCCGTTTTTGGGGTGGCAGGAGGTGATCGAGGCCATCGCCGAAAGCGCCTTCAAGACGTCGCCGTTCCCGGTGATTTTGTCCTTCGAGAACCACGTGGACTCGTGAGTCCCAAAATCTGGGGGGCCCCCGAACCCCCACGGGACCCCAAAGCCCCCCTGGGGACCCCCAAAACCTCCTCAGGATCCCCAAACCCCCCTGGGACCCCAAAACCCCCCTGGGACCCCCAAAACTCCCATGGGACCCCCAAACCTCCCTGGGACCCCAAAACCTCCTGGGAGTCCCAAAACCTCCTGGGACCCCCAAAACCCCCTGGGACCCCCAAAACCCCCCTGGGGAACCCAAAACCCCCCTGGGGACCCCAAAACCTCCCTGGGGAACCCAAAACGTCCCGGACCCCAAACCCCCTGTGCTCACCCCAAACCTCCGCTGGGGAACCTCAAACCCCCTGGGGAGCCCCCAAAACCTCCCTGGGACCCCAAACCCCCTTGGGACCTCCAAACCCCCTCAGGACCCCAAATCCCCCTGGGACCCCAAAAGCCCCTGTGCTCACCCCCAAACCCTGCTGGGGAGCCCCAAACCTGCCCAGGACCCCAAACCCCTGGGGAGCCCCAAAACCTCCCAGGACCCTCAAAACCCTCAGGACCCCCAAACCTTCCCTGGGACCCCAAAACCCCACTGTGCTCACCCCAAACCCCACTGGGACCCCAAACCTCCCAGGACCCCCAAAACCTCCCCTGGGACCTCCAAAACCCCCAGGACCCCAAAACCTCCTGGGAGCCCCAAAACCCTCTGGGGCACCCCAAAACCCCTGGGGACTCCCCAAAACCTCTGGGACCTCAGGACCCCCAAAACCTCCTCAGGACCCCCAAACCCTCTGGGGATCCTCAAAACCCCAGGACCCCCAAACCCCCTGTGCTCACCCCAAACCCCTGACCCCAAACTCTGGGGACCCCAAAACCCCCCAGGACCCCAAACCCTCCTTTGTCCCCCCAAACCGGGCCTGGGGGTCCCAAACTGGGGGCCGTTGGGGTTTAGGGTCACTCTCAGCCCCTCAGAATCTCTTCAGCCCCCAAATCCCCAGGGCGAGCAGCAGGCGAAGATGGCCGAGCATTGTCGGAGCATCTTCGGGCCGCCTTCCTGACACAGCCCTCGACAAGTACCCGGTGGGCTGGGGGCTGGGGGCTGGGGGAATTTGGGGGCTTTGGGGAGCCAGAGGGGCAATTTGGGGGTCTGGGGAGGAATCTAGGCCAGGGGGCAATTTGGGGGCTGGGGATGGAATTCAGGGGCTGGGGAGGAATTGAGCTGGGGAATTTAGGGGCATGGGGAAATTTGGGAACTGGGGGAATTTGGGGGCTGGGGGACATTTGGGGGCTGGAGGGGGAATTTGGGGGCTGGAATTTAGGGGTCAGGGGGAAATTTGGGAGGGGCTGGGAGGGCTGGGAGGCTGGGGGAATTTGGGGGCTGGAGGGAAATTTGAGGGCCGGGGGCTTTGGGGCTGGGGAAATTTGGGGGCTGAGGGGAATTTGGGGGCTGGGGATGGAATTCAGGGGCTGGGGGAATTTGGGGGCTGGGAGGCTGGGGGCAATTTGGGGGCTTTGGGGGCTAGGGGGAATTTGGGGGCTGGGGAATTTGGGGAAAATTTGGGGGCTGGGGAATTTGGGCTGGGGGAATTTGGGGGCTGGGAGGGAAATTTGGGGGCTGGGGGCAATTTGGAGGCCAGGGGAATTTGGGGGCTGGGGGCAATTTGGGGGCTGGGGGAATTTAGGGGGTAGGGGGAAATTTGGGGGCTAGGAGGGTTTGGGAGGGTCTGGGGCAGTTTGGGGGTCTGGGGGAGGTTTGGGGGAACAGGGGGTTGGGAGGGGGATTTGGGGGTTGGGAGGGTCTGGGGCAGCTGGGGGGCTGGGAGGGGATTTGGGGGAACAGGGGGTTTGGGAGGGGGATTTGGGGGTTGGGAGGGTCTGGGGGCAGTTTGGGGGGGCTGGGAGGGGGATTTGGGGGAACAGGAGGGGCTGGGAGGGTCTGGGGCAGTTTGGGGGCTGGGGGAGGGTTTGGGGTTCCCTGGGCTTGTGGGACCCCCTGATTTTTGGGGTGCAGCTGGAGCCGGGGTGCCCTGTCTGGCCCAGGGGCGATGGGGGCGGTTTAGAGGGCTTGGGGGCTCATGGGGTTATGGGGACCTCTATGACCCCCGATTTTTGGGGTGCAGCTGGAGCTGGGGTGCCTCTGCCCAGACCCCAGGGGCGATGGGGGCGGCTTGGGGGTTCAGGTCTGGGGTTCAGGGGTTTAGGGGCTCGTGGGGTTATGGGGACCCCCCTGATTTTTGGGGCAGCTGGAGTTGGGGTGCCTCTGCCCGGACCTCAGGGGTGATGGGGGGCGGTTTGGGGGTTCAGGGGGTTTAGGGGGTCCAGGGGGTTTGGGGGCTCTATGGGGACCCCCTGATTTTTGGGGTGCAGCTGAGCCGAGGTGCCTCTGCCCAGCTCCAGGGGCGATGGGGGCGGTTTGGGGGTTCAGGGGGTTCAGGGGTTCAGGGGGTTCAGGGGCCTGGTGGGGTTATGGGACCCCCAATCCCCCTGATTTTGGGGCAGCTGAGCCGGGGGTGCCTCTGCCCACCCCCAGGGCGCGATGGGGGCGGTTTGGGGGTTTGGGGGTTTGGGGGTTCAGGGGGTTTGGGGGCTCGGTGGGCTATAGGGACCTCCTGATTTTTGGGGTGCAGCTGGAGCCGGGGGTGCCCCTGCCCAGCCCCCAGGACCTGCTGGGCCGGATCCTCATCAAGAACAAGAAACGGCGCCCGAGGGGGGACCCCCCACGCCCCAAAACCAATGGTACCCCAAAAACAACCCCTGAAACCCCAAACAACCCCAAAACCACCCCTGAAACCCCCAAAACAACCCCCAAAACACACCTCTGAAACCCCCAAAACACCCCCCACGCCCCAAAAGCAATGGTACCCAAAAACAAACCCTGAAACCCCAAAAACAACCCAACACACCCCTGAAACCCCCAAAACACCCCCCACGCCCCAAAACCAACGGTACCCCCAAAAACAACCCTGAAACCCCAGAAACAACTCCCAAAACCACCCTGAAACCCCAAAACACCCCTCACGCCCCAAAACCAACGGTACCCCAAAAACAAACCCTTAAACCCCAAAAACAACCCCCCTGAAACCCCTAAACAACCCCAAAAACACCCCAAAAACACCCCAAAAACACCCCAAAACACCCCTCACACCCCAAAACCAATGGTACCCAAAAAACAACCCCTGAAACCCCAAAACAACCCCAAAAACACCCCAAAACACCCCCTGAAACCCCAAAACAACCCCAAAACCCACCCCTGAAACCCCCCAAAACACCCCCCGCACCCCAAAACCAATGGTACCCCAAAAACAACCCCCCTGAAACCCCAAAAACAACCCCAAAACACCCTAAAAACACCCCCAAACACTCCTGAAACTCCCAAAACTCCACCCTGAAACCCCCAAAACACTCCCCATGCCCCAAAACTAACGGTACCCAAAAACAACCTGAAACCCCAAAACACCCCTGACCCCAAAACTTCCCCTGACCCCCGACCTTCAGGGGAGCCCCCTAGGTTTTGGGGTCCCCTGACCCCTCCCCTGGGTTTTGGGGTCCCCCTGACCTCCCCCTGGGTCTTGGGGTCCCCTCTGGACCCTCTGACCCCTCCCCTGGTTTTGGGTCCCCCTACCCCCCATGCTTTTGGGTCCCTGACCCCGTGACCCTCCTCCATGCTCTTTGGGGTCCCCGACCCCCCTGGCTTTTGGGGTCCCCCCTGACCTCTCCCCTGGGTTTGGGGTCCCCCTGACCCCTCCCTGTTTTTTGGGTCCCCTGACCCCTCCCCTGGCTTTGGGGTCCCCTGACCCCTCCTGACCCCTCCCTGTAGTTTTGGGTCCCCCTGACCCCCTGTGTTTTTGGGGTCCCCATGACCCCCATGGGTCTTTGGGGTCTCTGACCTCCCTGACCTCTCCCCTGGGTTTTGGGTCCCCTGACCCCCCCATGTTTTTGGGGTCTCTGACCCCCCTTTCTCCCAGGCCCCCTGAGCTGGGGTCCCCAAACGGGGAGGATCAGGGGGCAGCGCTGGGGAGCCCCAAAATCCATCGGTGAGTTTGGGGGAATTTGGGGTCCTGGGGATTTTGGGGTCCTGGGGGCTTTGGGTCCCAGGAGGATTTTGGGGTCCTGGGGTGATTTTGGGATCCTGGGGGCTTTGGGGTCCCAGGGTGATTTTAGGGTCCCGAGGGGTTTTGGGGTTTGGGAGGGATTTTGGGGTCCCAGGAGGGATTTTGGGATCCCAGGGGTGATTTTGGGGTCTTGGGGGATTTTGGGGTCCCAGGGTGATTTTGGGGCCCTGGGGTTTTTGGGGTCCCAGGAGGGATTTTGGGGTCCTGGGGGTGATTTTGGGGTCCTGGGGGCTTTGGGGGATTTTGGGGTCTCAGGGTGATTTTGGGGTCCCAGGGGTGATTTTGGGGTCCCAGGGGTGATTTTGGGGTCCCGGGGTTTGGGGTCCTGGGGGTTTTGGGGTCCTGGGGTGATTTTGGGGTCCCGAGGGTGATTTTGGGTCCCCGGGGTTTTGGGGTCCCAGGGGGTGATTTTGGGGTCCCAGGAGGGATTTTGGGGTCCTGGGGTGATTTTGGGATCCCAGGGGTGATTTTGGGGTCCTGGGGGGGTTTTGGGGGATTTTGGGTCCCAGGGGTGATTTTGGGGTCCCTGGGGTTTTGGGTCCCCCCAGACCGCGTGAGGCCGACAGTGAGGAGGAGGAGGAGGAGGAGCCCCTGAGATGAAGAAGCCGACGACGGACGAGGTTTTTGGGGGCCTGGGGGTTTTGGGGATTTTTGGGGGATTTTTGGGGCATCCCTGGGGATTTTTGTCATCCCTTTCTTGGAGGAGTTGGGAGGGTTTTAGGGGGTCCCTGGGCGGGGTTTTGGGATCCTTGAGTGGGGTTTAGGGGAGGTTTAGGGTCCCCAGGAGTGTTTTTGGGGTCCCTGGATGTTTTTGGGGTCCCTGGGGGGTTTGGGGGGGTCTCTGGGTGGTTTTGGGGTCCCCAGGAATGTTTTTTGGGGTCAGGGCACGGCCAGCAGCGAGGTGAGGGCCACTGAGGAAATGTCCAACCTGGGGATTTGGGGTCCCTGGGGGTTTTTTGGGGTCTCTGGGGGTTTGGGGTTTTGGGGTCCCTGGATGTTTTTTTGGGGGTCTCTGTGGTTTTTGGGGTCCCCTGAGGTGTTTTTGGGGTCAGGGCACGGCCAGCAGCGAGGTGAGGGCCACTGAGGAGATGTCCAACCTGGGGGATTTGGGGGTCCCTGGGTGGGTTTTTGGGGTCCCTGGATGTTTTTTTGGGGGTCTCTGGGGGTTTTTGGGGGTGCCCAGGATGTTTTTTGGGGTCAGGGCACGGCCAGCAGCGAGGTCAGGGCCACTGAGGAAATGTCCAACCTGGGGGGATTTGGGGGTCCCTGGGTGGGTTTTTGGGGTCCCTGGGTGGGTTTTTGGGGTCCCTGGGGGTTTTTGGGGTCCCCAGGAATGTTTTTTGGGGTCAGGGCACGGCCAGCAGCGAGGTGAGGGCCACTGAGGAAATGTCCAACCTGGGGGATTTGGGGGTCCCTGGGGGGGTTTTTGGGGTCCCTGGGGGTTTTTGGGGTCCCCAGGAATGTTTTTTGGGGGTGTCTCTGTGGTTTTGGGGTCCCCTGAGGTGTTTTTGGGGTCAGGGCACGGCCAGCAGCGAGGTCAGGGCCACTGAGGAGATGTCCAACCTGGGGGATTTGGGGGTCCCTGGGGGGGTTTTTGGGGTCCCTGGAGGGGTTTGGGGGTTTTGGGGGTGCCCAGGATGTTTTTTGGGGGTGTCTCTGTGGTTTTTGGGGTCCCCAGGAATGTTTTTTGGGGTCAGGGCACGGCCAGCAGCGAGGTGAGGGCCACTGAGGAGATGTCCAACCTGGTCACCTACATTGAGCCCGTCAAGTTCAAATCCTTCCAGGTGGCCCAGAGTGAGTGGGGGATTTTGGGGGTCCTGAGGGGGTTTGGGGTTCTCTGGGGGTTTGGGGGTTCTGAGGGGGTTTGGGGGTCCTGAGGGGGTTTGGGGTGGTTTGGGGTGTCCTGGTGAGTGATTTGGGGGTCCCTGGGGTGATTTTGGGGTTCCTGTGATGATTTTGGGGTTCCCAGGGTGGTTTTTGGGTGTCCTGGTGCGATTCTGGTGGTTCCCGGGGTGATTTTGGGGTTTCCAGGGTGATTTTTGGTTGTCCCAGGGTGGTTTTTTGGTGTCCCAGGGTGATTTTGGGGTTCCCGGGGTGGTTTTGGGTGTCCCAGGGTGATTTTGGGGGTTCCCGGGGTGATTTTGGGTTGTCCCAGGGTGATTTTGGGGGTTCCTGGGATGATTTGGGGGTTCCCAGGGTGATTTTGGGGGTTCCTGGGGCGATTTTGGTGTTCCTGGGGTGATTTTTGGGGTTCCTGGGATGATTTGGGGTTCCTGGGTGATTTTTGGGGGTTCCTGGGATGATTTGGGGTTCCTGGGATGATTTGGGGTTCCTGGGGTGATTTTGGGGTTCCAGGGTGGTTTTTGGGTGTCCCGGGATGATTTTGGGGTATCCTGGGATGATTTTGGGGTTCCTGGGATGATTTTGGGCCCCCCCAGAGCGCAACAAGAGCTTTGAGATGTCGTCCTTCGTGGAGACGAAGGGGCTGGAGCAGCTCACCAAGAGCCCCCTCGAGTTCGTGGAGTATCCAAATTTGGGGACTCCCAGAAGGGGAGGGGGCGGGGGGAGGAGTTTTGGGGGTTTTTTTGTGGGGAGACTCAGGGGGTTTGAGGGGCTGCGAGAGGGGTTGGGTTGGGGGTCTGGGGAGGTTTTGGGAGGGACTCCAGGAGCCTCAGGGAGCTCAGGTGGGGGCCAGGTCAGTTTTGGGGGGTGTTTAAGGGCTCCAGGTGAGTTTTGGGGGATGTTTAAGGGTCCTGGTGCTCCCAGATCAGTTTGGGGGCGTTAAGGGCTCCAGGTGCATTTTGGGGTATATTTAGGTGGATTTGGGGTCTCCCAGGTGTGTTTTGGGGGGTGTTTAAGGGCTCCAGGTGTATTTTGGGGTATATTTAGGTGGATTTGGGGTCTCCCAGGTGTATTTTGGGGGGTGTTTGGGGGCTCCAGGTGAGTTTTGGGGGGTGTTTAAGGGCTCCAGGTTTATTTTGGGGGGTGTTTAAGGGCTCCAGGTGTATTTTGGAGGGTGTTTGGGTGGATGTAGGTGCTCCTGGGTGAGTTCTGGGGCTCCAGGTGAGTTTTGGGGGGTGTTTAAGGGCTCCAGGTGTATTTTGGGGGGTGTTTAAGGACCCAGGTGAGTTTTGGGGGTGTTTAGGGGCTCCAGGTGAGTTTGGGGGTGTTTAAGGGCTCCAGGTGAGTTTTGGGGGGTGTTTGAGGACTCCAGGTGTATTTTGGGGGGTGTTTGGGGGCTCCAGGTGTATTTTGGGGGGTGTTTAGGGCTCCAGGTGTGTTTTGGGGGTGTTTGGGGCTCCAGGTGAGTTTTGGGGGGTGTTTGGGGGCTCCAGGTGAGTTTTGGGGGGTGTTTGGGGGCTCCAGGTGTGTTTTGGGGGGTGTTTAAGGGCTCCAGGTGAGTTTTGGGGGGTGTTTGGGGGCTCCAGGTGAGTTTTGGGGGGTGTTTGGGGGCTCCAGGTGTGTTTTGGGGGGTGTTTGGGGGCTCCAGGTGTGTTTTGGGGGGGGTTTGGGGGCTCCAGGTGTATTTTGGGGGGTGTTTGGGGGCTCCAGGTGTGTTTTGGGGGGTGTTTAGGGGCTCCAGGTGTGTTTTGGGGGGTGTTTGGGGCTCAGGTGTTTGTGGGGGTGCTTAGGGCCCAGGTGAGTTTTGGGGTGTGTTTAGGGGCTCCAGGTGTGTTTTGGGGGTGTTTGGGGCTCCAGGTGTGTTTTGGAGGTGTTTGGGGCTCCAGGTGTGTTTTGGGGGTTTTAAGGGCTCCAGGTGTATTTGGGGTTTTAAGGCCCAGGTGTCAGGTGTGTTTTGGGGGGGGTTTAAGGGCTCCAGGTGTATTTTGAGGGGTTTTTGGGTGGATTTAGGTGCTCCTGGGTGAGTTCTGGGGGGTGTTTAGGGGCTCCAGGTGTGTTTTGGGGGGGTTTTAAGGGCTCCAGGTGTATTTTGGGGGGGTTTTAAGGGCTCCAGGAGCCGTCAGGTGGCCCTTGACGAGCCTCAGGTACAACAAGAGGCAGCTGAGCCGGGTTTATCCCAAGGGGACCCGCGTGGACTCCTCCAACTTCCACCCCCAGCTCTTCTGGAACGCCGGGGTGCACATGGCAGCCCTCAACTTCCAGAGCTTGGGTGAGCCCCTCCTGCCCCAAAAACACACCTGGGGTCACCTGAGCCCCCTCCCTGCCCCAAAACACACCTGGGGTCACCTGAGCCCCTCCCTGCCCCAGCCCACCCATGGGGTGCACATGGCAGCCCTCAACTTCCAGAGCCTGGGTGAGCCCCCCCTGCCCCAAAATACACCTGGGATCACCTGGGATCACCTGGGACCACCTGGGGTCACCTGGGGTCACCTGGGGTCACCTGAGCCCCTCCCAGCCCCAGCCCACCCATGGGGTGCACATGGCAGCCCTCAACTTCCAGAGCCTGGGTGAGCCCCCTGCCCCAAAAACACACGTGGGGTCACCTGGGACTCACCTGAGCCCCCCTGTGCCCCCAGATGTGCCCCTGCAGCTGAACCTGGGCCTGTTCGAGGTCTCTGTGCCCCCCTTGTGCCCCCTGACTCCCTGACCTCCCTGTGCCCCCCAGACATCCCCTGCAGCTGAACCAGGGCCTGTTCGAGGCCAACAGGCCCCTCTGTGCCCCCCAGACCCCCTGACCCCCCTGACCCCCCAGACGTGCCCCCTGCAGCTGAACCTGGGCCTGTTTGAGGTTTTGTGCCCCCTGACCCCCCTGTGTCCCCCCATCCCCAGACATCCCCCTGCAGCTGAACCAGGGGCTGTTTGAGGTTCCTGTGCCCCCAGACCCCCTGACCCCCTGTGCCCCCCAGACATCCCCCTGCAGCTGAACCTGGGCTGTTCGAGGCCAACGGGCCCCTCTGTGCCCCTGACCCAAATGACCCCCTGACCCAAATGACCCCCCAGACATCCCCTGCAGCTGAACCAGGGTCTCTGTGCCCCCTGACCCCTCAGACCCCCCTGACCCCCCTGTGCCCCCCAGACGTCCCCCTGCAGCTGAACCTGGGCCTGTTCGAGGCCAACGGGCGCTCGGGGTTTCTGCTCTGCCGAGCCCCCTGTGCCCCCAGACCCAAATGACCCCCTGTGCCCCCCAGACCCAAATGACCCCCTGACCCCTCTGTGCCCCCAGACTCCCCTGTGCCCCCAGACCCAAATGACCCCTGACCCCCTGTGCCCCCAGATGTCCCCCTGCAGCTGAACCTGGGGCTGTTCGAGGCCAACGGGCGCTCGGGCTTCTGCCTGCCGGAGCCCCCTGTGCCCCCCAGACGTGCCCTGACCCCCTGTGCCCCCAGACCCAAATGACCCCCTGACCCCCTGACCCCCTGACCCCCTGTACCCCCAGATGTCCCCTGCAGCTGAACCTGGGCCTGTTCGAGGCCAACGGGCGCTCGGGGTTTCTGCTCAAGCCGGAGCCGCTGCGGCGCCCGCACAAAACCTTCGACCCCTTCGCCGAGGAGAGGCTGGACGGGATCGTGGCCAACACCCTGCACGTCCAGGTGAGCACAGGGACCCCCAAAACACCCCAAAAACAGCCAAAAACACCCCAAAAACCACCCCAAAAACACCCTGCACGTCCAGGTGAGCCAAAAACACCCAAAACACCCCAAAAACAGCCAAAAACACCCCAAAAACACCCCAAAAACACCCAAAAACACCCCAAAAATGGACAGGGAACCCCCAAAAACACCCTGCACGTCCAGGTGAGCAAAAAATACCCAAAACACCCCAAAAACAGCCAAAAACAGCCAAAAACAGCCAAAAACACCCCAAAAACACCCCAAAAACACCCTGCACGTCCAGGTGAGCAAAAAATACCCAAAACACCCCAAAAACAGCCAAAACAGCCAAAAACAGCCAAAAACACCCCAAAAACACCCCAAAAACACCCCAAAAACACCCTGCACGTCCAGGTGAGCCCAAAAACAGCCAGGGACCCCCAAAAACCCCCCAAAAACCCCCCAAAAACACCCCAAAACCACCCCAAAACCACCCTGCACGTCCAGGTGAGCAAAAAACAGCCAAAAACCACCCCAAAAATGGACAGGGAACCCCAAAACACCCCAAAAACACCCTGCACGTCCAGGTGAGCCCCAAAAACAGCCAAAACCACCCAAAAACACCCCAAAAATGGACAGGGAACCCCCAAAAACACCCCAAAACCACCCTGCACGTCCAGGTGAGCAAAAAACAGCCAAAAACACCCCAAAAACAGCCAAAAACACCCCAAAAACACCCCAAAAACACCCTGCACGTCCAGGTGAGCCCAAAAACAGCCAAAAACACCCCAAAAACAGCCAAAAACACCCCAAAAAATGGACAGGGAACCCCCAAAAACAGCCAGGGACCCCCAGGGACCCCCAAAAAACACCCCAAAACAGCCTGCACGTCCAGGTGAGCCCCAAACACAGCCAGGGACCCCCAAAAAATGGACAGGGAACCCCCAAAAACAGCCAGGGACCCCCAGGGACAGAAACAGTTCTGTCGGATCACCGCTCAGGGGGTGTTTGTGGAGCTGTAAATCCCATTTTTTGGGCTGTAAATCCCATTTTTGGGCTGTAAATCCCATTTTTGGGGTTATTTTGGGCTCGTTCCAGGTGATTTCGGGTCAGTTCCTCTCGGACCGGCGCTCGGGGGTGTTTGTGGAGCTGTAAATCCCATTTTTTTTGCTGTAAATCCCATTTTTGGGGTTATAAATCCCATTTTTGGTGTCATTCCAGGTGATTTCGGGGCAGTTCCTGTCCGAGCGCCGCTCAGGGGTGTTTGTGGAGCTGTAATCCCCATTTTTTGGGGTTATAAATCCCATTTTTTTTGCTGTAAATCCCATTTTTTTTTCTATAATTCCCATTTTTGGTGTAATTTCAGGTGATTTCGGGTCAGTTTCTCTCAGACCGCCGCTCGGGGGTGTTTGTGGAGCTCGAGGTTGATTTTTGGGTGTAATTCCCATTTTTTTTTCTATAATTCCCATTTTTTTTGTCTCATTCCAGGTGATTTCGGGTCAGTTCCTCTGTGATCGCCGCTCGGGGGTGTTTGTGGAGCTGTAAATCCCATTTTTGGGGCTGTAAATCCCATTTTTTTTTCTATAATTCCCATTTTTGGTGTAATTTCAGGTGATTTCGGGTCAGTTTCTCTCAGACCGCCGCTCGGGGGTGTTTGTGGAGCTGTAAATCCCATTTTTGGGGTTATAAATCCCATTTTTTGGGCTGTAAATCCCATTTTTTTTGCTATAATTCCCATTTTTGGTCTCATTCCAGGTTATTTCTGGTCAGTTTCTGTCCGATCGACGCTCGGGGGTGTTTGTGGAGCTCGAGGTTGATTTTTGGGGTTATAAATCCCATTTTTGGGTTATAAATCCCATTTTTGGGGTTATTTTGGGCTCGTTTCAGGTGATTTCGGGTCAGTTCCTGTCCGATCGACGCTCGGGGGTGTTTGTGGAGCTCGAGGTTGATTTTTGGGTGTAATCCCCATTTTTGGGGCTGTAAATCCCATTTTTTGAGTTGTAAATCCCATTTTTGGGCTCATTTCAGGTGATTTCTGGTCAGTTCCTGTCAGATCGCGCTGAGGGGTGTTTTGAGCTGCAGGTTCGATTTTTGGGCTGTAAATCCCATTTTTGAGACCTCATTTTTGGGTAGTTTCAGGTGATTTCGGGGCAGTTCCTCTCAGCACCGCTCGGCCGGTGTTTGTGGAGCTCGAGGTTTTCGGGCTCCCCATCGACACCCGCCGGAGGTTCCGCACCAGGACGAGCCAAGGGAACCCCTTCAACCCCGTCTGGGACGAGGGGCTCGAACTCAACAAGGTGCTGGGGGGACTGGGGGAACTGGGAACACTGGGAGGGACTGGGAACCCTTCAACCCCGTCTGGGACGAGGGGCCTCGGCCTCAACAAGGTGCTGGGGAACTGAACACTGGGAGGACTGGAACCCCTTCAACCCCGTCTGGGACGAGGGGCTCGAACTCAACAAGGTGCTGGGGAACTGGGAACACTGGGAGGGACTGGAGGACTGGGAGGACTGGGAACCCTTCAACCCCGTCTAGGACGAGGGGCCTCACCTCAACAAGGTGCTGGGGGACTGGGGAACTGGGAACACTGGGAGGGACTGGGAGGGACTGGGGAACCCCTTCAGCCCCGTCTGGGACGAGGGGCCTCGCCCTCAACAAGGTGCTGGGGAACTGGGAACACTGGGAGGGGACTGGGAGGGACTGGGAGGACTGGGAACCCCTTCAACCCCGTCTGGGACGAGGGGCTCGCCCTCAACAAGGTGCTGGGGGACTGGGGAACGGGAACTGGGAGGGACTGGGAGGGACTGGGAACCCCTTCAACCCCTGTCTGGGACGAGGGGCTCGCCCTCAACAAGGTGCTGGGGGACTGGGAGGGACTGGGAGGCACTGGGAGGGACTGGGGAACCCCTTCAACCCTCGTCTGGGACGAGGGGCCTCGCCCTCAACAAGGTGCTGGGGGAACTGGGGAACTGGGAACACTGGGAGGGACTGGGGAACCCCTTCAACCCCTCGCCTGGGACGAGGGGCCTCGCCCTCAACAAGGTGCTGGGGGACTGGGAACACTGGGAACACTGGGAGGGACTGGGAACCCTTCAACTCCCGCCTGGGACGAGGGGCCTCGTCCTCAACAAGGTACTGGGGGACTGGGAGGGACTGGGAACACTGGGAGGGACTGGAGGACTGGGAACCCTTCAACTCCTGTCTGGGACGCAGGGGCTCAAACTCAACAAGGTGCTGGGGAACTGGGGAACTGGGAACACTGGGAGGGACTGGGAGGGACTGGGAACCCCTTCACCCCGTCTGGGACGAGGGGCCTGGCCCTCAACAAGGTGCTGGGGGACTGGGAACACTGGGAGGGACTGGGAGGGACTGGGGACCCTTCAACTCCCGTCTGGGACGCAGGGGCCTGGCCCTCAACAAGGTGCTGGGGGAACTGGGAGGAACACTGGGAGGGACTGGGAGGGACTGAGGAACCCCTTCAATCCCGGTCTGGGACGAGGGGCTCGTCCTCAACAAGGTGCTGGGGGGAACTGGGGGAACTGGGAGGGACTGGGAGGGACTGGGAACCCCTTCAACTCCCGTCTGGGACGAGGGGCCTCGTCCTCAACAAGGTGCTGGGGGAACTGGGGAACTGGGAACACTGGGAGGGACTGGGAACCCCTTCAACCCTCGTCTGGGACGAGGGGCCCGTCCTCAACAAGGTGCTGGAGGGACTGGGGAACTGGGAACACTGGGAGGACTGGGAGGGACTGGGAACCCTTCAACCTCGCTCCTGGGACGAGGGGCCTGTCCTCAACAAGGTGCTGGGGGCACTGGGGGCACTGGGAACACTGGGAGGGACTGGGGAACCCCTTCAACCCCGTCTGGGACGAGGGGCTCAAACTCAACAAGGTGCTGGGGGGACTGGGAACTGGGAACACTGGGAGGGACTGGGAGGGACTGGGGAACCCCTTCAACCCCGTCTGGGACGAGGGGCTCAAACTCAACAAGGTGCTGGGGGGACTGGGAACACTGGGAGGGACTGGGGAACCCCTTCAACCCCGTCTGGGACGAGGGGCTCGTCCTCAACAAGGTGCTGGGGGGAACTGGGGGGACTGGGAGGGACTGGGAGGGACTGGGGAACCCCTTCAACCCCGTCTGGGACGAGGGGCTCGGCCTCAACAAGGTGCTGGGGGAACTGGGAGGGACTGGGAGGGACTGGGAGGGACTGGGAACCCCTTCAACCCCGTCTGGGACGAGGGGCCCGTCCTCAACAAGGTGCTGGGGAACTGGGGAACTGGGAGGGACTGGGAGGGACTGGGGAACCTCTTCAACCCTGCCTGGGACGAGGGGCTCGTCCTCAACAAGGTGCTGGGGGGACTGGGGGAACTGGGAACACTGGGAGGGACTGGGGGGACTGGGAACCCTTCAACCCTCGTCTGGGACGAGGGGCCTGTCCCTCAACAAGGTGCTGGGGGACTGGGGGCACTGGGAACACTGGGAGGGACTGGGGAACTCCTTCAACCCCGTCCTGGGACGAGGGCCTCGAACTCAACAAGGTGCTGGGGGAACTGGGAACACTGGGAGGGACTGGGAGGGACTGGGGAACCCTTCAACCCTGCCTGGGACGCAGGGGCTACTGGCCCTCGACCGAGGTGCTGGGGGAACTGGGAGGGACTGGGAGGGACTGGGAGGGACTGGGGAACCCTCTTCAACCCTGGGTCTGGGACGAGGGGCTCTGACTCAACAAGGTGCTGGGGCACTGGGAGGGGGACTGGGAACACTGAGGGACTGGGAACCCTCAACCTGGACCTGGGACGAGGGGCCTGGGCCCCACCAAGGTGCTGGGGACTGGGGAACTGGGAGGGACTGGGGGAACTGGGAGGGACTGGGGAGGGACTGGGAGGGACTGGGAGGCACTGGGGGACTGGGAGGGACTGGGAGGGACTGGGGACACTGGGGGACTGGGG